ATATATATATATATATATACCCATAGATGGAATCTCTCCATCAGCCAATGGTCTCGAGTTCAAACCTATGAAATGGAGGAACTTAGTGAGCTCTATGCTATGTGAAATTGAGTTGTGGATCATTGAGTTTCAGATGCCGAATGCATTAATTTAAAATTAACCAAAAAAAAAAAAGGAGGGAAAAAAAAAAAGACAAAGGGAACTATTTGTAGTTACGCCTATTTGGGGGGAAATAACCGAAACGACAATAGCAAAACTAAGGTTTAGTCATTTGGACTGGAATTGAAAATGCCAAATTAGCTTTCATATGGTCGGTGAAGACTAGTAGCAAGTCACACGTAATAATATCTTAGTCATATCAAACCAAAGTTTTATTATGTAGAAAGTATTAATTCAATCAGCTTAATTAAAAGATAATTATAAGAAAACGTCTTCACTAAATACGGACTGCTAATCAAATTACATTGAACATATAAATTTTAACACCTTGAGTTAATAGAACTTCACTTCTAACGAAATTGGTGGGGTAATATCAATGCCTATTTGAATCTTCCCTTGGTTGACGTTTTGTAATATGAGAAACACTTGACACCCCTATTTTTAGTTTTAAATTAGTACTCTAATGACGTATTTGTGGAAGGATTTAACTTTTACAGCTTGTTTGGATGGTTGTTCTCCGTTGTATCGTATTGTGTTCTAAAAACAATGTTTGTTTTGATTGTTTCATTAAAATTGATTGTACTGTATTGTTAAATCCATTGTTCCGGAACGATGAAAAGTCCCTTTTGTTTTAAACAACCGATTTGGTGTGGTGGGATTGTTTCCTATTTTTCTTTCCAATTATGCCCTAACTTATTACTCCACAATTCTATTTTACCATTTAGCCTTTTTTGCTATTTTAACTCCAAATCTCCAACCTATGACCTACTTTGTTATTTTTCAGAACTTCTGCCGCCAACGTTAAAGGTGTTTTGACGCCTTCTGTTTTATTTTTTCTCCTAATTTGCTTTCAACTCAATTCTAATTAGTTGTGCTCCTTTGTTTTGCCTTCTTCTGTCTCGCTCCTTTGTTCTGCTTTCTTAAGGTGTTTTGCCTTCTTCTATTTTGTTCTTTTAAAAATATTTTTATGCATAATTTTTGATAAATTTAATATTTAAACATTGAGGGTATTTTAGTAAACTTATCAGTTACAGTACAGTACGTTACAGTCAAACCAAACAGCAAAATATTATTTAACAACAACAAACAATACAATCTATCCAAACATTGTATTGATAAAACGATACGATACAATATAATACAATACATTATAAAACGATGGGGAACAATGATCTAAACAGAGTGTTAAGTGCAACTGACGTATTTGTAGAAGGATGTGCGCTGAGAATGTAAAGATCCTTTTTACATTATTAGTGAATTAACATATAGTAATACTATGTTAGTTATTATTTTACAAGATTATCGATTAATGTTTATCAAAGGATTTATTTAAAATTGCTTATATTTTCTACATCGTGCAATTAAATAAACTATTTATAGAATGCTAAGTTGTAATTGTGGTCGGAATTTATGGTGTTAAATTTCCATAAAGTTGAGGTGTTTTCTTTATTTCAACTAATGCTTTTACAAATTAATCATAGCTCCTCATATAAAATATTTCTTAAGAGGGAAAAGGTGTTGTTGACATGTTGTTTCTTCTTACACTAAGTTGATGTTGACATAGAGAGAAAAAAACTAATTAAGGGAAGTATTAAGTTTAATCTCGCACCGACAAAACAGCACTAGATCACCTTTACTTTCCTATTTGTCTAACAAAGGACAATTAACACAAAATTTAATGCTTCTCAATTTTTTTTAAAGTACAAATTGGCGATGGAATTAGTGGATTAAAACTATTTTTATTATTAGTATATAGTAATGGTTAAATCTAATTTACAAAAGAATATTCGAGAAGGAACCGACTTTGAAATTTTAATTGAATATTGAAATTTCCTTTTCTCATGGCCTTATACAGCGGCGGCCCGACGAATTTTGTGGCCTAAAGCCAAACTTTATGAGAGGACTTAACTTTTTTTTTCTTCAAAAAAACGTATTATTTGTTTGGTTGAAGTCTTTTCTAAATTTTTTTTAAAGTTATTTAAAAAAATTATAATCAATT